GTCGTTCTCTCTCTGTTCCTTGTCGTTCTCTCTCTCTCTCTGTTCCTTCTCTCTCTCTCTCTCTCTCTCTGCGTCGTGTCTCTCTGTTTCGTCGTCGTCGTCTGTGTTTTTTTGTTTGTGTCGTGAAACAGAGTGTCCAATTTTAATTGATCCCCAATTCGTTTTTTTTTTAATTAACTCTGGTCGGGTTTTTTTTATTTCTTGGATCTGTTTATTGGGCAATCGCAATTCTAAAACGCAATTAGTTTATCATTAATTTTGATTTCGAAATTGATTAGAGAGGGGGTTTAAAAAAGCTTAGGGGGAGATATGAAGAGAATTCAACAATCTGGGTGGGTTTTTCAAGAGCTAAGAAGTATGGGGGGGAATAGATAGGGTGGGTAAGTCTGCAGGTGGGTTTAGGCAGCTATTTTGGAAGACTAGGAGAACGCTAAAGACGACTTGACTAGAAGAAAATGACGAAAGCCATGACGTGAGTTTTTCAACTCCCTTTCCAGAAGTTATATTGCAGATTTTAATTAGATAAAGATAATTTTATTTGTACTTTTTATATATCAAAACTGATCTTGCAAGCCAAAAAAAAAATTTAATAAGAGCCGTTTTCATATATTTTTTCTCCCTCAAGGTAACCATACTGATATTTTTAACAAAAATTCCATTTGAGTCAGAGTCAAAGTCAAGAATATAGTTAATGGCCCTAAAGCCAAGATATGTTTCCATAGCAGCCAAGCGTTACCTGCCAAAGCTTTACTTGAGTCCTGCTTGGATGCTCTAAAACCAAATATAATCATTTTATATAAATACACATTCATTATCTCTTTGATCCTCAAACATCCAATCTAAACAAGAACTAAGAAGATTCTAGTTGCCTCTACAAAATCCATTTCTTGTTTTCTCAGCAGCTGAATCATGGGAACTTCTAATGAAGCCGCCTCTAAGCTCCATATCTTCTTCTTCCCTTACATGGCTCATGGCCACATGATACCAACTCTTGACATGGCCAAACTCTTCGCCACCAAAGGAGCCAAGTCCACGATCCTCACTACCCCTCTCAACTCCAAACTCTTTGAGAAACCCATAAACTCATTCAACAACGAGAATCCAGGACTCGAAGACATCACAATCCAGATCCTCAACTTCCCTTGCACAGAGCTTGGCTTACCCGAAGGATGCGAGAACACAGACTTCATCTTCTCTAACCATGACCTAACCAAAGGTGACTTGAACATGAAGTTTTTACTAGCAATGGAATATTTCAAAGAGCAGTTAGAAGAGCTTCTCCAGACAGTGAAACCAGACTGTTTTGTAGCAAACATGTTCTTCCCTTGGGCGACTAAAGTTGCTGAGAAGTTTAATGTGCCGAGACTTGTCTTCCACGGTACAGGCTACTTCTCTCTATGTGCTTCTCATTGCTTAAGGCTCCACAAGCCTTACAAGAACGTAGCGTCTAGCTCTGAGCCCTTTGTGATCCCTGAGCTTCCGGGAGACATTGTTATTACAGAGGAACAAGTCATAGAAAAAGAAGAAGAATCTGTGATGGGGAAGTTTATGAAGGGTATTAGAGATTCTGAGAAAGATAGCTTTGGTGTGTTGGTGAACAGCTACTACGATCTTGAACCTGCTTACTCCGATTTTTACAAGAGCCATGTGGCTAAAAGAGCTTGGGACATTGGTCCACTTTCTTTAGGGAACAGAGAGTTCAAGGAGAAAGCAGAGAGGGGCAAAAAGGCTAGTATAGATGAGCATGAATATTTGAAATGGCTTGACTCCAAGAGATGTGAATCTGTTATTTACTTGTCCTTTGGAACCATGTCAAGTTTTGACAATGAGCAGTTGATTGAGATTGCAGCTGGCTTGGAGATGTCAGGACATGATTTTGTATGGGTTGTTAACAGAAGTAGTAGCCAAGGTAAGTATCTTTCTAGCAGAATCTTATGTTGTGTTGTTCTCAGTACATAAACCTCTGTGATGTTGTGTGAATAGGGGAGAAGGTTGAGTGGTTACCAGAGGGGTTTGAAGAGAGGACGAGAGGACAAGGACTGATAATACGTGGATGGGCGCCACAAGTGCTTATACTAGACCACAAGGCTATTGGAGGATTCTTGACACATTGTGGATGGAACTCGCTTCTAGAAGGTGCAGCATCAGGCCTACCAATGGTGACATGGCCCATTGGAGCCGAGCAGTTTTACAATGAAAAGTTGGTGTCACAAGTGTTGAAAACAGGAGTAAGTGTTGGAGTTAAGAAGATGGTGAAAGGTGGTGGAGATTTCATTAGTAGAGAGAAAGTGGAGATTGCTGTAAGGGAAGTGATGGTTGGTGAAGAGAGGAGGAAACTGGCGAAGCAGTTAGCTGTTATGGCTAAAGATGCAGTGAGAGAAGGAGGATCTTCAGATCTTGAGGTGAACAGATTGATGGATGAGCTTAAGTTGCTCAGAATGCAAAAAGAACAAGAACAAAGAGACTGATGTTTTTTTTGCTAAGGAACAAATGTCATTTGATTTACTATGTGTTGTGTTGATTTGAGTTACTTTTTGGAATCAGAACGATTTTACTATGTTGCTATTTAAAATCTTTGGTCTGCAATCTCCACAAGGCTAAGCTAATGGCAATATGTGTTCTTATAAGTCCTTTGGACAATATCAAGCAACTTATTTGCTAACCTTTCTCTAATGTAAAGACTCAATGCGTCAAGAAACATTATACTGAAACCATTAGAGTTACCGTTTTATAACACATTAATCACTAATCAGACTATTTTCCAGAAGATCTTGGAAAACTGGTCTTAGATTCCGACAACTTTTAAACAAAAAAAGATTCCGACAACTGTGACAAGTTGACAGAGGAAGTATCAAAGACACCAAAATAAGTGACGTAGTTGCATACGTTAGAAGTCATTACCTAAAACTAAAATGATCCCACCAACCTTACATGTGGACAATGGATTTAACACGTGTTTACCATCATGCAAAGACTCTCAGGCCATCAGTGATGGTTTCAAGGAGGTTCTCCTAATGTGTTTGAAACTCTTTAGTCTCCTCTACCACATGTTTAATTTTCAATTCGTATGACTAATTTGGAATGGTACTAATTAATTGCGTAATCAAACTACTTTAAAGTACCAATTTAATATTGTTTAGTGGCCCTATTTAAGAGACTAATGAATGATGATGCTCTTACAAACCACTATATCTTCAGACAAGTTTTCTCATTTTCTATTCCAAACAAACATGAGTAGTAATCCTCAGCGTAAGCTCCATGTTATGTTCTTCCCTTACATGGCTTATGGCCACATGATACCAACTCTAGACATGGCTAAGCTTTTCTCTAGCAAAGGAGTCAAATCCACAATCATCACCACACCTCTCAACTCCAAGATCTTCCAGAAACCCATAGACACATTCAAGAACCTGAACCCTAGTCTTGAAATCGACATGCAGATATTCGATTTCCCTTGCGTTCAGCTAGGGTTACCAGAAGGATGCGAGAACGTAGATTTCTTCACCTCAAACAACACTTCTGGTAGAGAAAACATAGCCTTCAAATTCTTATCCTCGACAAGGTTCTTCAAAGACCAGCTTGAGAAGCTTCTCGAGGAAAAAAGACCGGACTGTCTTATTGCCGACATGTTCTTCCCATGGTCCACCGAAGTTGCTGAGAAATGTCACGTGCCAAGACTTGTGTTTCACGGCACTGGCTACTTCTCTTTGTGCGCTAATTATTGCATGAAAGTGCACAAACCAGAGAAGAGAGTAGCTTCGAGTAGTGAGCCTTTTGTTATCACTAATCTCCCCGGTGACATAGTAATAACTCGAGATCAGATCGTAGACAGCGAATCCGAGATGGGGAAGTTTCTTTTAAACGTGAGAGAATCAGAAACAAAGAGCTCAGGTGTTATAGTGAACAGCTTCTACGAGCTTGAACCTGATTACGCAGATTTTTTCAAGAGATTTGTGGCTAAAAGAGCGTGGCAGATCGGTCCGCTCTCTGTTATAAACAGAGGATTCGAGGAGAAGGCTGAGAGAGGAAAGAAAGCGAGCATTGATGAGGCTGTATGTCTCAAATGGCTTGACTCCAAGAAACAAGATTCAGTGATCTACATATCATTTGGGAGCGTTGCTTGCTTCAAGAACAAGCAACTGGTAGAGATCGCTTCAGGGTTAGAAGCTTCCGGCGCAAGTTTCCTATGGGTTGTGAGGAAAACCACAGGTGACGAGAAAGAAGAATGGTTACAAGAAGGGTTTGAAGAGAGGGTCAAAGGGAGAGGGATGATCATAAGAGGATGGGCTCCACAGGTGCTGATACTTGAGCACCAAGCAACCGGTGGGTTTGTGACTCATTGTGGTTGGAACTCGCTTCTTGAAGGAGTGACTGCAGGGCTACCTATGGTGACGTGGCCTATTGGAGCGGAGCAGTTCTACAACGAGAAACTGGTTACACAAGTGCTGAGAACAGGAGTTAGCGTGGGAGCCACAAAGCATGTGAGGAATATGGGAGATGAGATCATTGGTAGAGAGAAAGTTGAGAAGGCTGTGAGAGAGGTGTTGGCTTGGGGAGAGGTGGATGAGAGGAGGGTACGGATTAAGAAACTGGCGGAAATGGCTAAAGCCTCCGTGGAAGAAGGAGGGTCTTCTTTTAATGATCTAAACTACTTCATACATGAGTTTAGTTCATGATCGCTAGTTTAGAGTTTTGGTCAAAAATCTCATACAGAAAATAAGTTAATCCACGCATTGTTAGTAAGTTATAAATAATGGTGTTAGGTTATTATATCATCGATTTTTAATCAGTTTTGCTGATTTCGGTTCAGGTTGACCTAATAATGTGGGATTTATAACAAGTTTGAAGGTTTTTCATTCTCACTATGAATTTGTATCTAAAAGCTTTTTATATCTCCAAGAACTTTTAAGATTTGGTATTTTCTAGAGATTTGAGTTGACTCAAGCGACAATGAATAAACTACTCCTAACCGATTTGTTCTAAGAAAATCAACAAGTTATGTAACATGTTCTAGTCACTAGTCAGTTCTGTATTATATTTGTAAAAAATTCACATTCATGAACAATCTCATGAAAAAGTACAGTTTCAGATGAGTGCTTTCTTGACAAAAAGAAAATATCAACAAGAGTGGTAAGACATTTGGTTTGGTACATGCTTGTGTGAGATTTGACTTTCTATGTAGGACTACCCAAAATGCAACTAAACATGCATGCATGTACATGTTGTATCCAGTTAAAGTCTACGTTACCATATAATTTAATTAGCATTTGACTTTTAAAACTTTCTATGGATTGTGTTGACAAAAACCGTGCAGCATGATCTCATGTTATACATTATATAAGTTAACTAAGTACACTTTTTTTTATCTATAAGAATTATCTTATTTCTAAAATCTTTATTTTGTAAGTTCAAACTAGATTTTGCATGACACAACTTGAGGTCTATCCAGTTAAGTCTTCTAACACTAAATTCAATTAATTTTATATTAACTGTGTTGACAATTTGAGACAAGGAGTGATTAGTTAGATTGTAGATGGAGAAATATAATTATAAGATTTTGGTTTGTATTTTTTTATTGTTGTAGCTATATATTATTTTGTTGTATAAAAATACTACAATTTTTAAAACATGTTAGTAGTTGTTTTAAGAAAAAATATATGGCTATAGATGATTAACAAAATTTTAATTTTAATTTTAAAAATTAAAATTTTGTATAGCCAATTAAATTGCAATTTTATTTCCATCAAATTTTAACATAATTCAAGATTTTGAAACTAATTAATAAGTTCAAACTAGATTTTGGTTTACAGAACCAAACAAGTGACATATGTAAAGACGTCACCAAAGAGTTTCAGCATGTTATATATAAGGACAAACAACTTACAAGCTTCAGAATATTTCATTTCTTCAATCACTTTTTTATAACTTTTTTTGTAACCATCTCATTCTCATAAAATGCATGTTATGTTTTTCCCATTCATGGGGTATGGCCACATGATACCAACACTAGACATGGCTAAGCTTTTCTCTAGCCGAGGAGCCAAATCCACAATCATCACCACACCTCTCAACGCCAACATCCTCCAAAAACCCATTGTCACATTCAAGAACCAGAACCCTAGCCTCGAAATCGAGATCCGGATCATCGATTTCCCTTGCGTGCAGCTAGGGTTACCAGAAGGATGCGAAAACCCTGATTTCTTCACCTCAAACAACAACACTGATGAAAGACAAACCATGATGTTAACATTCTTTGCATCCATGAGGTTCTTCAAAGACCAGCTTGAGAATCTCCTCGAGACAATGAGACCAGACTGTCTTATTGCCGACATGTTCTTCCCATGGGCCACTGAATCTGCTGAGAAGTTCAATGTGCCAAGACTTGTGTTCCACGGCACTGGCTACTTCTCTTTATGCTCTGAACATTGCATCAAAACGCATAACCTACAAAAGAGAGTAGTAACTACGAGCTGTGAGACATTCAAGATCCCTGATCTCCCTGGCGACATTATGATAACTCAAGGACAGATGAGAGACCTTGACGAAGAAACCGAGATGGGGAAGTTTCTTATTGAGGTTATAGAATCAGAAGTGAAGAGCGCAGGTGTTGTTGTGAATAGCTTCTACGAGCTAGAACCTGAATACGCAGATTTTTACAAGAGTAATGTAGCAACGAGAGCTTGGCATATAGGTCCACTCTCGGTTCACAACAGAGGTTTTGAGGAGAAGGCTGAGAGAGGAAAGAAAGCGAACATCGATGAAGTTGAATGCCTTGAATGGCTTGACTCCAAGGAACAAGATTCAGTTGTTTACATCTCATTTGGGAGCGTGGCTTATATCTTGAACGAGCAGTTGATAGAGATCGCTGCAGGGTTAGAAGCTTGTGGCGCAAGTTTCATTTGGGTTGTTAGGAAAAGTGGTGAAAACACAGGTACTGATAAAACAGAACACATAGTGATAGAATATTTCCCTTTTTTTTTTAGTTTTTTTTTCTTATGAATACCAGAAGGTTTGGGGTTAAAGTCCATAATCCTCAGAAACCACAACATGTAATTTGAGGACAGACCTCTGACACAATAGCCAAGATCATTTTCAGTTGAGCTAATGACCTCTGGTAGTGATTCTCTGTTCAAATTAGGTTATACTAAAGTATTGAAGTTGTGTTTGAAATAATAACAGCCTATGTGTTGGTTGCACTGTCTCTATATGAAACAGGTGAAGAAGAAGAAGAATGGTTACCAGAAGGGTTTGAAGAGAGGGTTAAAGGGAGAGGAATGATCATTAGAGGATGGGCTCCACAGGTACTGATACTTGACCACCAAGCAACCGGTGTGTTCCTGACTCATTGCGGCTGGAACTCAGTTCTTGAAGGAGTGGCTGCAGGGCTTCCGATGGTGACGTGGCCAGTTGGGGCTGAGCAGTTCTACAACGAGATATTGGTAACGCAAGTGCTCAGAACGGGAGTGAGCGTGGGAACCAAAAGTATGGGAGATTTCATCGGCAGAGAGGACGTGGAGAAAGCGGTGAGGGAAGTGTTGGTTGGAGAAGAGGCGGAGGAGATGCGCGGGCGAGCAAAGAAGCTGGCGGATATGGCTAGAGATGCCGTGGAAGAAGGAGGTTCTTCTTATAATGACCTAAGCAGTTTCATAGAAGAGTTTAGCTCATGTTCCAGTTAACTCTTGCAGATCATTATAAGTTCAGTTTCGAGTCAGTTTGATATTTATTTATTTATTTATTTATTTATTTGTTGGGGATTGTGCATGTGATACTCATATGAATTTGTTTTTCTTTTTTAATGTAAAAGCAAAATCATATGAAAGTATAAGATGAGAGAGTAAACATATTATTATATGTACTTTTTATCAAATGGAATAAACAGATTTGCTATTAACTATAAGTATCTGCTTTATAACTGCTGGCTATATTGAGTTCTCGGTTTCCCGCTTGATCTGCAGTGCAGCCCTAACAACGTTCCCTCTTGTTAGGATCCCAATCTTTGTTGTGACAATAACAAAAAAAAAAAAAAACAAGATCAGATCAAATTAAACTGCAAAAAAAACAAAAAATAAGAAGAGAAGATTGTGAGTTTGAGATTATCTCTAACCAGTTTTCCATCTGAATCCACGACTGGTAATCTTCGGAACTTTGTTTCCAGTAGCAACCTGAAGACAACAAATGGTTTACATATCTTTGTAAGAAATGTTGCTTTCAGAGATCAAACTGAGCTCTCATAGTAGTACCTGGCAGCATCTTCTAAATTGGTAGAACCGCGGACGACAAGAGGAGAAGGAGTCATCAAATCTCCAACCACTTGTCCATGTGTCTTACTTATCAGCTTCTGGAGTTCGTTAAACGTCTAGTAACAAAACAGAAGTCAAAATATCATATAATTTCCAGTAGAGTTGGGGATAAAACACACTAGTCCTCAGATATAAATAGCAAACAAGATGGGGAAAAGAAAGAAACGTACTTTCCATGAACTGTCGACGTTAGGGAACATGTTTGTATCATCTTGGCTGCGCCCTATAATTCCAAAAAGACCAGAGAGGTTAAGTTGCTTCACCAAACAAAAATCCATAATCCCGAACGAAGCAAGAAAACTATGTGCCGACAAACAATACTAAGATCCACCTATACTCCAGAACTGAGATCATACTAACTGATTAAAATATTCATTGTCTGATGAAATGATATTGAAACCATATGCTATGCAGGGACAGAAAACCAGCAGAAGACTAGAAAAACCTTGGATACATTACCAGAAATGGAGTCAAGTGCAAGCAAGTCGTAATCAGAAACAACACCAACCTGCAAGGGTAATTACAGATTAAATCAACCTATAAAGCATCCTTCAAAAAATAAGCAAAGAAACAAATGAGAAAAAGTGTTTCAAAAAAAAAAAAAAAAAAAAAAAAAACAAATGAGAAAAAAGAAAAGCTATACCAGATTCCAATCATCATCAATTACAGGCAATCCTGTGACTTTCTTCTCTACCAGAAGTTCCAATGCTGTTCAAATGAAAAACAGAGACTATAGAGACTTAGAAGGAAGGATTGGTTTCTATGTTTTAGCATGATTACCATCATCGACAGATGTTGAGGGCTTAACAACATGTAGATATTGTCTCCCTGTCATGAAGTCACCAACTGTGTAACCACCATTTTTAGCCTAAAACCCAAATCTCACATGATCAAACACAAAGTTTCAATTTCTTAAGCTGAAGAGGGTGAATAAGCACTCACAGGAACAGAGTTATTAACACCAGAAGGAGCTGCAAATACGGCAGAGGCGATGATGAATGGTGAAAAAGTGGAGCGACGACGATTAGAGAGAGGAGGAGGAAGTGAAAAGGATGAAGAAGTGGGAATAAGGCATGGACTGAGTGTTGTATGAAGTTGAAGTCGCGTTATGGGCAGAGAGATGGAACTCATGATAGCCTATCCTCTGTTTCTCACGGATTCTAACGACAAAAAACAGTTTTCTTGGGAAATCTGAGAGAAACAAAAGGTTGATGAAAACTTGAGAAAGAGGTGAAGAAGAAGGAGAAGCGTTTTGATTGGGTTGTAAAAGTAGACAAGTGGGGAACCTCTTTAACTTGAACCCTGTTTTGGCTTTAACTGTCGTTGGATTTTTATGTCGTGACCGTTGAAATCAGAAATAATATCTAGCAACTTGGACACAAACCTAAAGTACCAAGTATATACCACAAAAGTCATCAAGTTGTGTATTTGATAAAAAAGAAAAAGTCATCTAGTCGTGTATTAAACTCTATTTTCTGTTTATAATTCATTCGTTGATCCTGTTTCAGTGCTAATCTTTATCTTTGATAGATGATACAAATATGATTTTGGTTGAGCAAAGCAAAGCAGATATGTTTTTTTTTGTTTTTTTTTGGAATTTAAAGAAAGTTTGATAAATCACACAAAAGCGCAAGTTATTAGGAATCCACACACGACAAGTGTAATTTTGTATGGGAGAGGCCGAATAAAGAAATTTAAGAGAGGTTCAAGGAAGCGAGCTGCTCGGCTGCACCACCTGCAGCAACGCTCCTCAGAACATCCATAGCCTCTGCAACTTTGTCCTTGAGAGCTTCAGGTGACTCCAAAAGATGGAGCACTTCCGTCTGGTCCATCTCCAAAAGCATCCCAGTCACTTTGGCTGCAGACTCTGCCTCAAGCTGCTCCACCAACGGGTACAGATTCTCACCCAGCATCTGCATACACACACACAGCGAAGTTAGACACAACATTATATATAACAACTCTCTATTGATCATAATAGAGAATCGCTCACCGTCCTCTGCTGCTCTGGAGACGCATTAGCAAGATTTGAAGCCAAAGCTCCAATAGGCAATGGGATGTTGTTGTTTCCCATGTCATATGTAGAAACATCACCACCACTACTACGCCCTTGGCCTTGAGGGTACCGGACCATCCGACCCCTTGGATGCATCTGATCACCCACCCCAAAACAGAAAGATAGATCATACAACTATTATATCAAAGAGAGATGAGCAAAGTCAAAGCAGTTTTTTTATAGCAACTGTGAAAGAACCTGGTGCTGCATCATGGGAACTTGCTGCTGGGAATGTTGGATCCCTCCAGGGCGTCTTCCTCCAGGACGCTGTTGCTGTTGCTGTTGCTGTTGCTGAACCATAGGCATGAAGTAATTTGGTACAGGTCCCCCACCAGGTCTCATTCCAGGAACAAGTTGCTGTTGGTATCCATACCCAGCCTGTGGCATTACACAAACCACATCTTAGTATTACCCCAACAGTTTGGAAAGACTAAAGTGTGAATAGAGCTAAACACAGAGACATTTTAAACTTATAGTGTGACTTAGAAGCAGCTGGTAGCTTGTAATTCGTTATATCCAAGGTAGATGATAAACAAGTGAATTACCAGTACAAAAATGTCTTTGTAAGAGAATATAGAAAGTACAAGGAAAAATGAAGATTACCTGGGGAGGAATCATGTTAGGAGGGGGCTGACCGTAGAACATTTGTTGTCCAATACCAGGACCTCCAGAGGGAAATATTGGCATGCGAGGACCAGCGGGTGGAGCCATTGCAACTGGCCTCACTTGGGAAAACTGAGCCTGTTCACAGCCAAGGTATAAGTATTTGGTATATCACAAGATGAGGTGATTCCAGAGAGAAGCAAACCTGTAGTCTGACTCTTCTGTCTTCCTTCCTCTGTGCAATAGCAACATAGAGTGGCTTGCTTTCCACCATTTTCCCACTCAACTGTGACATCTGTACAAACATTCCACTTTTAAGAATCAATGAAAAATACCTTTCCTCACACATATACTCAACAAGAGAAGAATATAAACTAACTTACAGCTTCTGTTGCTTCTTCAGGAGTTGAGAAAGCAACAAAACCAGCACCTTTGCTTATTCCACTAGGATCCCGCATCACCTTGCAAGATGTAACGGTACCAAAAGGAGAAAATATCTCTTTAAGCTTCTCATCAGAAACGCTAGAATCCAAATTCTTCACATACAAGTTCGAACCCTGAAACTTCTCTGCAGCTTCCTTCAAACTCTGTTCACGACGAACCCTAAGTTCTGTCTCCCTCTCAGACTTCTTCTGTGCTCTACCAACATACCACTCCTTATCATCAAATGTCTTCCCATTGAGACTCTCCACAGCTTTAGCAGCATCATCAGCGTTTTCAAAGTTGACAAAACCAAACCCTTTAGACTTCCCTTCTCCATCTTTCATCACCACAGCACTTGTTATCTTACCATACTCAGCGAAAGTGTTCATCAAGTCATCATCGGTGGTACTTTCCGCGAGATTCTTCACGTAGACATTGGTGAATTTAGTTATGTTTGCAGTCGAGTCTCTTTCTTGTCTCCTTAAGAACGGACCAACGTACACTTGCTTGTCGTTTAGCAACATGCCGTTGAGTTTCTCAATAGCTTTCTGAGCAGATTCTTCATCGGCGTATTGCACGAAGCCATAGCCTTTTGACTGGCCTGAAGCATCCACGGCTACTTTGCACGACACAATGTTCCCAAAGGTTGAGAATGTATCATGTAGTGCTTTGTGGTCGATGGACAGGTCCAAATTCTGCAAAACTTGTAGCAAGGTTTAGCAAGAGAGAAACCAAATAAAACAAACACACAACTAAAGAGAAGAAAAAAAACTAATTCTTTCACAACTTTCAAAAAAATAAAACAAGATCAATATTTCCAATATTTAAGAAATTGATAGGCCGTAGCTACGAGCATGTAGAACAAACTATTGATTTATTTTATATATAGTTTACATTTATATTAGATATTTTGATGAATTATTAAAATTATAAACTAGACAAATTGTGGATTTTCACTAACATTATCGCTTAATTTTACAGATTTAGAACAATTAAGATTGATTTAGACCAATTTTAACCAATTTAAAAGGGATTAAATCCACAAGTTTGAACACTGATATTTTCCTTACAATCATCTTTTTCTTACATCAGAGGTAAGGACATAGACAAAGAGTTACCTTGATGAAAATGTTACCAGCACCACTTCGACGAACACTAGGATCACGATGAGAATACATAACCCTAATAGGTTTCCCATAAAGAGGTATATAATTAAGTTCCTGAATTGCTCTTGCAGCTGCAAGAAAACAGAAGAACAAAGGATCAACCACATTGCATATATATACATAAACAAAAAAGGAACAACATTTCCAAATTAAGAAGGCTTTTTACCATCTTGTGGATTAGTGAAGTTAACGTAACCATAGCCTAGCGATCTGCGAGTAGCTAAGTCTCTGCAGACTCGAACAGACACCACTTGACCCATTTGACTAAACGCGTCGAAAAGCTGCGAATCAGTCACGTTGAGATCCAGATCACCGACGTAAAGCGACGTCGTTCCGAACTGAGCTGCCGGCGCCACGTTGTTCGTTGTCTGAACCTGATCCATTGTCTTTTTTGGGTTTTTTTTTTGAGACTTTTTTAATCTTTTTTTGGGGGGATTTTCGATTTAAGTCTTCCCTCTCCCTCTCGTTTATTAGACTGAAATCAAATCGAATCGAAAGAAGTATGAAACAGAAGGTAAAACCAAACAAAAGCTATGTGATTTTTAGTTTTTTGTTTTACTCTTTTTGTTGGGTTTTTTTTTGTGTGGAGGGTAACAGAGGAGAGGGAAGATGAAAAAAAGGTAAGAGCTTGCCGGCGGCGAAGCCTGCGACGGCGAGTGAGATAGAGAAAAAACTGTGGGCGATAGGTTCTAGGCGAAATGAGCAAGAGAAAGCATTACCCTATAAGCCCTAGTAGATAATGAGTTTTGGAAAGATCTCAGCCGTTGGATTGAGTCTGAACTCGTTAGTCAAACGTAGCATTTAAGATTGGTTTTTTAGTTGGTTGGTGATACGGTCGGAAAAAGTCAAAAGACTTATGCGTGTGCGTGTGTGACATACATTCGATTGTGTGTTTGTACACGCACATTCATAGATGATTAACACTACGATGATATATTAGTAACTTTTACATATTTTCTTTGATTTATCTCTTGACATTTGTTATTCTAAAGGCTTATTTATATCCTTTTAGCAAGTTCTTATTCGAAGATGTAATAATAGTTGTATTTACAAGAGTACTTATTTAGTGATTTACTCATTAGATGCAAGTCATGTCCAGCATTCGCTCCTCAAATGTATGTAGAAAATATCTTAATCGACAACCAAAATGATAAGATTTGACTTGTCAAAAAAACTATATTCAATTAGATATACTACGATGGTGTGTTCCAATGGAACTGCGACAGAACATAATTTTTTTTATATATTAGCTTATCTTTCACAAGCTAATGTACAGAAAGAAAATTCTAATCTATACCTTCTTAGAGATACTTTGAGAAATTTTACAAATACATAACTGTTACAACATGCAACACCACGCAAGGGTATGGACCAACAACAATATATTCGATTGTCACAACTATTTTTTTTTGTGTGCTTACGATAACTCAATACCTCACTTTTTATGTGATCTGATCGTGTTTACATGCACTTGTCAAAGAAATAGAATTTGCTAAAAGCAATCGTTTTCCAAAAACATTACAACAGAAACAATACGAATTAAAGAAAACTTATTTCTAAAGTTCTTTCAGTTTAAAAACTTTTAATACACACAAAAAGTAGAAACGGATATATATAATTTACACATCGACAAATAAAAAATCTTTTAAAGCCAATCCCTTACGGATTAAGTAGAAGTACACAAATGTTAAACGACTCAGTGACCATTTTCCAACTGGTTCACCTGACAAAACACTACTTTTTCTAAGCTTCTTGTTGGATCGCACGTCTGAGCCTAAGTCCAGTATCAGCATCTCCCTCACGTCCTATCAAGACCCCACCCTCTCCTGCAGCATCCTCACTGCTTTGGTTTAGGTTTTGGTTAGCCAAGGCAGCTTCCCCAAAGTTATGGAGCCTCCTACCGATGAGATAACGGTCATCACGGATGGAGTTGTGAAGGTTTCTGAACCAGACGTGGCATCTCTTTGCACAGAAGCAGAAGAGGCTCACCGAGAGACAACCTATCCAAGCGAATCTGTAGACCGCCGAGTTCACAACTAGTGGGTATCCGAGCATTGGGAACACTCCTCTCGCGAGGACGTAGGGAACGCATAATGCTGTTAGCAGCTTCATCACGATCGGGAATACAATCTCTCTTAGTACCCACAAACCTTGAAGCCTCGAGAATCCATCTTCTCTTACTCTCTCAAACTTTGCTCTCCAGCTATCATCCATTATCGGAAGCATATGATCCAACATTACCTGTTCATTGTCATCACTATTTAGTGACAAGAATTATATTTTTGTGGTAAGAATTGTTAACGGGAAAAAATACTTACCAGTCTAGTCCAGATCTTCAAAAAGATAAGACCAAGAGCCCAGTCTTGATACAGAAGGAATACCGGGCTTTCATCTACTGGGACTCTCATTGGGACGATCACCAAGAGCTCAAACAGAAGTCCGATTAGTACCGGAATGATAAAGACCTGTTCAGTCACCAATTTCAGAACACAAAATCATGAGTCAAATGAGTTCGAGCATCTCAAAATTCTGAGTAGAAAACAACATCACAAAACCACTTACCCATATGGCTAATAGCACCGAGCTCTTGAAGACAATCCCACACCATTTCCATATTTGGTTAAGCAAGACTGAAGTCCTCCTCGACTTGACATGCTCGATGGCATACCTCCCCCCAGATATGGCAGTCCAAAAGGCATATGTACCAATCACGAAAGCATACAAATCTACAAATTTAGGATAAGATTCTGTTAAAATTGTAATCTGTTTTAAAGAATGAAGCACAAGATCAAATTTAACAAATATTTACCATTGCATTTGATGCCATGCGTTATTGGGAGAACTGGGATGGCACTAAACAGAGCACGTCCGAGAGAAACTGGTACAACTATCAATGCCGAATTGAAGAGAAGAAGAGTAACCCATGCATAAAGTAGTAGAAGGATTATCCGGACCACAAAGTTGTACCTGCTAAAAAGTTTACATTCATTTCAGGATTCATTTCAGGGTAAGGTCCAATGAAAATCGTTACGCATCCAGTCATCTAAGTATCTAACTATATATACCAAGTATGCAGAAATTTCGAACATCAAAAAAAGCTTTCGTAGTATTCTAAAATAAGTACTTACTCTGAATCAGATTGTTCTTCATCATCCTCATACTCGTCACCCGTGTTGACATTCCCAGCACGGAGGAGATTTCTGTTAGGGTCATCAGCTGCTTGAAGCGCAGCCAAGGCCCCGTCAGGTCCACCGGCCTGCAATACCTGTGCTCTGTTCTGCCTTCCTGGTTCACCAATTCCATTATCCTGACCAACGTTGTCCTCTGGTCTTGGCAAGAGGAAGTCTGTCAAACCAAGGGCCCAACCAACGGCTGTGAACCAGCAGCGTAGAAGGGACTTGATTGTGGTCCGTAGTCTGAAATGCTCGATGATAAATGGTATGCATATTTGAAACAGAAGCATGTCGGCTGGAATCTCAGTGAATGGGTCGGATACACTGCATAGATACAAAGTTAGAAAAGACTTCTAAACACAAATCAAAAACGAAGATAGGCCAATATTACTTACGATATGTCGAGCGGGAAGATTGAGGGAGCCATCCGGATAGCCAATTTGACCGGTAAAAATACGAGCATGACAATCAAACTGCCGTACACTGCAACAGATAACAGAACCCTCCGAGCATGCTTGTGTACTGGATCATCGATCAAATCTCGGAATGGATTGTAGTTAGGATCTGCAGGATCACGAAGGAAATACAAAACACCAGGGCGAAGAACCTGCAATTTATACAAGAGTGGAAAACAATATTAGATATCAGCAGAGATATAATACCTCTTTCTTAAACTAAACTATGACCAAGGAAAGCAAGTACCCCTCGAAGAAGGCTAACGAAGATGCTTATTTGCAGCATGTACATGATTCCAACAACCCAATGAACAAGTGAGCTTGCCAGTGGAGAAATTGAAAGAAACTGTACTCTGTGGGACATTGTTTTACCAAACATCCTTACTGTGCAAACATCTAGCCACCACCCACACATCAGCGGGAAGACTCCAAGCTCGATGACCAAAAGAAAGGCAACTTTAATCATCGTCAGCAGATGCCTCATTGCTGCCAAGAATTGTCTAAAGAGGGATGGTACGGCTTCTACCATAGAAGCGATACCATAAAATCTCCCAACAGTCAGTGGCTCACCCTTGGCATAACGAATCAGTGCAATGATCCCCAGGTAAAGGAAAACCAGAAACACTATAAATATGTACCCAACAGTCAGGGTTGTAACATCAGATAGCTTGGATGATCCTGTAACAGAACCTTTTAGGAGATCAGCAGCAACAGATAGAGTACTGTTTGGCCCATTCAATTCACTTCCGTTGACTTTCATCATTTCTGAGAGCTGACCAAGCAGTCCATTTTCTTGGCCCTCGTTAGTCAAATTTGAGACAGAAGTCAACGCATTCTTCAGAGTCGTATTTTCCAACGCTGAATCAACAAAATGCATTGATGCGGTCAGAGCAGGGCCTTTAGCAGCAGCAAAAAGCCATGACATATGATACAATATAACCCGTCCTAATGTGAAGGGCACAAAGATCACAACACCAAGGAATATCATATTGCTTGCTAGAACCTGAAAAAAAAACATGAAGATTTTAATGTAAGCAAAACGAGAACGACAAGAGAAAACAGTATTAAGAAACCAAATCCACAGGAACTTACAGTAAAGGCATTCTCAACCAAATGAAACACCGGACCCTGCATTCCAACCAGCTCATCAAACGGAACATCTTCAGCACCATCAGCATCGTCCAAACCATCAAACATTTGTTCAACCTGAGCCTCAAGACGAGCTGCTTGTATATCCAACCTCGCCAGAACATTTTCAGGATTCCTTCTCGCCTGACCAACAGCTGCAGCACCCTGATCTCCACCTTCTTCAACATTCCCCTCTCCAGCAAGATTCCTATTACCCTGTCCAGCAGGTCTCCTCGCAGCACGAACACCATTTCTTTCGCCATCATCTTCTCTCTCATCTTGTCCCCCCAACTCACGCAAATGCCTAAAGTAATCCCTCAACGACGTCGCCCCGAGGAAAATGAAGACAATACTCGCCGACAGTAAGAACCCGTGCAAACAATCCGTGAGAATCACGGTGGTGGAGATGTGGCTTAAGAACAACCTCTGAGCTTCACCAAAACTCCTCACAAAAGCCAATCTCCATATCCAAAAGGTAATGAAGGGGATAGTGAGAAGCCAGACGGAAAGCACGAAACTCAACCGCAGAAAGAACTGCAACACGTGGCAAGCTTTCATCGCGATGCCAACTACAAACTCCTGGAAAGGGAGCCTTGTTGGAGCATTATCAGCATACACTGGAGAGAACGAAAACGGATGCTTGCAAACCTGCCAAAAATTAAAGTAACAACAAACTCAATCACACAATTCAAATTATTAAATCAATTATCTTAATTCTGCAACCTAATAATCAATAATCTTAATTCTCCAGGTTTATAACTTAAATCAATTATCTTAATTCTGCAACCTAATAATCAATAATCTTAATTCTCCAGGTTTATAACTCAAATCAATTATCTTAACTCTGCAACCTAATAATCAATTATCCTTAAATCTGCAGGTTTATAAATTAAATCAATTATATTAATTCCGCAAAATCAAGAACCCTAGCAATCAACCGAGACCTCGCATTGACGAGCGTTGCTATGATTAAGCCACTGAAGGAGACAATCCTGATGAACAAACTTGATGCTCCCGCTGCAAGCGCACGGATACCTAAGCGGATTATCCGATTCCCCTGGGTTTCTACAGATCCTGCAAACATCCTCCTCATCTTCGTCATCATCAACGTACCTAGACGCCGTAGCCGTAGCAACCGCGGGATCCACGGCGGAGAAAGCGGTGGGAGAGGCCTGGCTCGAGGCGGAGAGGGAGGAGGATGAAGGAGAAGAAACGGAAGATTCCGATGCGACCTCGGAGGAAGCGGCTGCGCCAGAGATGGAGAGAGATTCGGATTCAGCAGAGGAAATCTCCATGGAGAAATCCGAGCTAGGGGTGATAAAAAGGGCTTTCAGGTGGTGGAAGGGTGATTTTGGGGGAAAACGAGTCGACTCGGTGAGTCTTATGGGGAAAAAAACGACGAAGGCACCGAGTAGATTTGATTGATTTTTTTTATATGGACGGACTAGGACCGGGACCTGTAAAACGTGTTTTGACGATATTGGCCTTCCCTCTTGTTTAATTTTATCAACTGTTTTTGTCGGTTACGCGTCTTTGGCATTTGGGTTTGGGCTGAGGAAATAACAAAAGCCCATGGTAATTGAGGCCCACATCTAGTCAGGTTGAGTAAACGGAGGAAGCATGGGTTCATTTAACTCTTATTTTCTTGCAAGTTGCAACCATATATTGCTTTGTTGAAGAAGCAAGGCACAGGCTAATTCCAAGTTGCTTTGGATGTTGCAGCTTTTTCTCTTGGTTTTGGCATCTATTGAAAGATCATGGTTATGTATCTCTATACCCTACTTCTAAATGATTTGAAGATGCTGGATTAAACAAGATATCTAACTTCATTTTTGAACACAAATATGAGATGAAAAAGAACTTGCCTACAACTAGAAAAAGAGTTCTTCAAGGTCTTTGATAACTACAAAAAATACTAAAAATAACGAAACAAAACATCAGTCTCTCATGTGCTTTTCTCCTCTCTCATCAGGTGGGGTGTGTAGTCTGCGGACGAGTGCTTCTGGATTTCTTTGCTTTCGATTAAACCCTCTCATGCATACAAATCCTGCACATCACACCATCACATTGTGACTCAAATAATTCAAACTCAATTTAATTAAAAAAAAAAAAAACTCAAAACTAGACAATGTTTGTTACCTGTCCAAAAACATAGTTGAATTCTTGTTTCATCTAATAACCGAAAAATAGATGTCACTGATGACCCACAATATAATGCACGCTTCTCCAACCCATTACACAACTCTCTAGAAAACACAATAGGTTTTAAACTCGTCTCATGATCTGCAAAAACCTGGAAAAAAAACTTATTTCAGTTCAGTGAAAACCAATACAATGCAGAAAAAACACACTTACCTCATTGGTTTGAAAGTATGTGCCATTTAGTGGGAAACCTCCTCGCATTGCTGTTCTACAAGGGATCTGTTCAATTTGCAGTGATCCACGTAAGTTCAAGTCAATAGAATTAAGAATAATAAGTCTTTAATACAGTTTACCAGAATTGTTCCACGGTAAGTGTTTGAACTATCTTCACGTATTTTCCAACAATAAGAACAAGTCTTAATCGTGCAGAGGTTTGTTCCATCTAAGTCACATTTCTTCTTTGGCGGCATGAACGAGTATGGCGTTTCACCTAGAAAAAAAAATCGAATGAAAAATTACTTTATGCTTGCTTATGTGACTGATGATAAAGTTTTGTGTGTTCATACCTGGTTGCCAAAGGGCAAGTAGATATGGACTAGGATCATCACATTCTCTTCTCTCAAACTATAACACATACCAAAATCAAATAAAAATTTCTTACAAATCATACAAAAGAGTTGCAGATCTTTCGTATTATATACTTACATCATTGAGAAGCTCATGGTTATCAGGAAGCACATATCTGCAAAACAAACAATTAGATTATATATATATTTCCATAATATGATAATCTTGAAAAAATATATAATAAATACTTACACCACATGTTCAGTTCGTAATCTGTCATAATACTTTGTTTTGCGGGGCAAATCCATTGGAATGCAGGCATTCTCTGGGGTCATGACTGCTAATGCTTTTGAAATCTCGTCATTACAACCACCGTTGAACATCGTTCCACTTTTTAAAAGTAGTGCATCAACTACGTTTTGCTTCAATGCATCCATATCGATACCAATTCCAGGAATTGCATTATTAGACTGACAATAAATTCTGCAAGGAGTATCTTCAATGTCTAATAACTCTGGTATTTCTCTAGTTGGAGTAGACGGAAACTCAACTATTGGTTCGCAACAGTTAGTTTGATTACTGCTTTCAGTAGAAGAAACACATTCTTCAATCGAATTTATCTTTGATGGCAGCTTTGCATCAACATCATGACAGTATGAAGTGTCTGGCTCTTGTGTCTTTTCTTTAGGACCCTCGAGAAGAACTTTGGAACTGCAAGAGGATATAGAGACATGCAATGACCAACATCATCAACTGATACTCGCAGTAAAGTGCATCCTAATGTATTAAAGAAAGAACACTTAAGAGAATCATTTTGTGCCCGTATTGAAAATGATTCTCAAAGTAATGAGAGAGTGTGTAACCTGACATATGCACTTGCAAAATATTTGCATTCTGATTTCATCGGACATGCATTACAATTAGGAATAACCTTCGTACAGAAGACCTGTAGTTCACAAGATTTAAACCAAAATGAATACTGATTTGTATTTAGTTAAAAACTTTTTCATAATGAAAAGGTTTATATGTTAGGTGCACCTTTCCAAATGTTATCATCTGATAATGTAACTCGTACCTATAAGGACAAAAGTATAAGATAATCAATACATCTCGATATGATAGCATAAATAATTAGATTGCTAAAGGTAAAATGTAAACTTACAGTGTCTCTTGAGGAAGCTTACATAGTCGTGGCCAAAGATATTTTTGAATTGAATCCATTGAAGGATATCTAATTTAAAAAAGAGTAAATTGTTAGATGTTTATATATCTAAGTTTTTTTTAAGAAAAAAATACTCAACTGAAATAATTGATGCAACTGAACACCATCTGCCAAAGGTTCAAGAGGAACCCAACCAAGCCGAACTGCTATACGTCCAACATTTGTGTCAACCTATACATATCCAAAAAAAAACATTGATGGTTAAAAGATAACAAATAGATATAAAATTTGTAAATAATTTCTTTTCATACCGGAAAAGCTGAATGTTTAAGTCCTAAAAGTCGTACACACTCAGCACTCTTTAACCCTATTCCTTCGATCTCCAATAGATATCTCCTGATAATACAATATAAATTTTTAGTGACGTTTACCAATTATGAAAAGATGAAATAACATAAAAATAAAAAAGCTCAAACATACTTCACTAAGTCAGAAGGAGCATCTCGAAGCCATTCAAGATCCACGCTTCCATTTTCTTTTGCTTCGTTGTTGAGAAATTTCTTCAGAAAAGAAAAAGATAAAAAGATATATTAGTGTCTGACCTCTAAATCGCTTTTTAGAAATTTATTTTCTTACCAAGATTTTTCTTGCAAGACCATTGTGTTGTCCTCGTTTTATGATGGTGTCAGCAAGAACTTGTTGATCAGATGACCGTACAGCATTCCAATCAACAGTGTCCATATGTATTGTATCCTTAATTGTTTCTTTTGTGTAGACTTTTCTCAAACTCTCCCAATCAACATTCTCATCTTCCATGATACCTGTTTTTTTGTTTTTTCTTTTTGCATCTTTCACAGGTTGTTCCAAATTTTTTTCTAAGGAGACATATTCAACAGAACTTTCAGCATCATTGTCCCTAGTCTGAGTTGGTATTTGGCTATCACCGACAAAGTTATTAATCTCTTGAGGTTCCTCAATGAAATATTCTAAGCTTTCCAGATTTTCTTTTGCACCTGCTGGAAATTTTGCAGCAACACTCATAAAAGCATTGCTGTAGAAAAAAAGTTGTCAGACCAACAAAAAATTTTAAAAAATTAATTCAGATTTTACCTTGAAAGGTAATCAGAAACATTTTGTGTCAAAAAAACTCCAACAACTGAATCCACAACTGAGCCTTTCCATTGTTTAAATTTCCTATTGCCTGCAAAATAGAACCATTAACAAAACCAAAACACCAAAATATTGCCAGCAATATATCTTATAAACAATAACAAATGTACCTTGTATAAGATGCATTCGGTTGATGAAGAGTTCTATTTTGCTTTGAAATATCTCTCGTTCTCCTTTCCACTTAGACTCTGTCTCTTCTTCGTTGGCATGGGATATCTTTTGTATATCGTTCTCCATTAATAACTCCCACTCTTTAATGGTTTCAGGATCAAGATTCACTTTTGCAATAACCAGCTTTTTCTTTGCCTTGCTCAAAGTTGTTACTCTTCGCTTGATGTTTAATTTTTCCATCTCTTTGATTAACTTGGCAATACCTTTAGTTTTTTTCTTAGAATCTTCATGCGTTAAGTCATTAACAGATCTCATAAGTGTATCTGCAAAAACAACTGAAAAAAATTAATAATGTGTGGCCAAATCAACCATCCATCGATAGTCCTATTATATATTACTACATGATTGTCATTCAAATTACTATGTATGACCCGTTTTAAATCTAACCATTCAGACAAATAATTTGCTATACATGGGTTAAAACACAAAAGCTAGACCATCAAAATACCTCGACATTTTTACTGTAGGTATAGAAGAAATGTGCAATTACTAATTTAGTAATTCGTAATATATTTTATACTAAAATCTGGTTTCATCATAGATAAATCAAAATAAAACATGATTACCTTCTATGTGTAATGGAACATCGGCTAGAGATGAAAGATTGTGATCTTTTTGATAATTCAATTGTTGAATTAGATTCTCCATAACTTTCTTTTCATTAGTGTCTAATTTTGGTGCAACACAAACTGATGATGTTATGAATAAATCTGTAAAAACAATATATGAATAATATAATTAGATATAGTAGAGAAAAAATCTGATTTTATTGAATATAGATCATTTGTATAAAAACTAATTACCTTGACTCTGAATTGCAGCACCTTGACGCCCATTACTTTTCTCATGATTTTTCTCTTGGGTTACAAGTTTGCCTATTTTCTTAGCTTTTCTTATAGTTTCCTTCGAGCCTACAAAATAAAAACATAGAAACACATATGTGCAAAATCATCACTCTCTATTCTTTTCTAAGTATATAAATAAACACCATACAAAAAAAAACATTTATGAAAAATAAAAGGCTTTACCAGCTTTTATTTTTTGTTTAGACTGCATCAAACTCAGCTTTGGTGATATCCTTTTCATATCTGCCCAAAATACACAAATAATCAAAGTAAGTACATCGTTAAAAGGTATCAAATGAGTATATGATAAAAATACTTAAAACAAATTATTACCTTCATTTTTCTGATGAATCTCTACCAGTGACAAAGTTTCTTCTATGCATTCCAAAGACAAAGCAATCATGGTCCATCTGGTCATATTTTTCTTTCGATCAGACCTTTTTGACTGCTTTTTCCAGATGGGCATAGGAAATGAGATTGGAGATATTAAGACATGAAAATCAGTTCTACGAAGAGTGGTCATCCTCCTTTTGCCTTTTGGAAAATTAGGCTCACAACTTCTACTGAGTTGAAGACAGGTAGCAATAACTTCTTCATCAAATGGCAAGGTTCTAGCAACATTCTTGTTTGCCTTGTTTTTCCTTTTCTTTGGACAACTCTGCTTCTCTGGAGTTCGAATCTCTACTATTTCTTCCTCTTCATCGTCTTTCTCTTTTTTACTCCTTTTCTTAGATATAGTTCTCATTCGAAGATTGATAGGATCCCTTGGTTTTTTGCCATCTTCCAAAATCCTCGGCCTATGAAATCTCTGTTTTTTTGTTATCTTTTCAGAATAGTTCTCCTTTCTTTCTCCATTAACATATTGTGAATCATCTTTCACCAAATACAACAATCATAAATAAGATTACTTCATGTATTGACAGTTTGTAGCAAAACTAAAGTTTCTAATATATACTGCTGTTATTGAAAATTATATTTGTCTGATATAGTGGGAAGAGCTACACAACCTTTTTTTTTTGAAATGTGGTAACTATATTTTAGCCTAGATCCGAATCACAGTAAATCTGCAAACAAATTAGAATATATGTTAAAAATGATTTACCTTGAAGAGTTGTTGACTGAGCAGTTTTTTCTTCGATTTCTTCTTTTGAGTTTTTCTTCCCTTGTGTACCATGAAGACTTTGTAGATCAACTTGTACCATCAAATAAAATAGAAGAGTATATCAATCAATAGATAACATCCATTTGAATTCAAATAATTTGGATTGGTTTTCTTACTTTTAAATTTTTCTGATTCTTCACTCTTTTTCACAACCTTCTCTTTAACTGTATCCTCTATGTTGAAATCTGAAGAAAAGTCTGAATTTACCAACTCAGGAATCTTACTCTTTTGTGGAGAAGTTGCAGAGTCATCGACGTTTTGTAACTTATTGAGCCGCTTAGTATACTTTCGTCGAACATAGAATTTCAGTGTAGGCTTAATCAATGTTTCTTGAACAACCAAACCAGAAACTTTGTCTGGATTTGGTGAACTCTCCATTACTGTCTCCTGTAACATATACCCTAATTAGAAAACAAAAAATTATAGAAATCAAATTCATTATAATTTGAACTAAAACTCGGTGAGATACAAGAGAACTAAACAATCTCTGACAAAGAGGAATCTCACCTTAAGAAAACATGATACAGTACAAGAGAACTAGGCAACTTCAGAGAAGCGATCGTTTACGGATAACTAGAGGTAGAATTAAAACTTACAGAATATAAATTGAGGTATACTCTGAGGCAGCAGAGACAAAGGTTTATATGAAACACAAACACACAGGATTGTGTATTTTGAACTTCCGTCTACTTCAACGGCAAGAGAGAAAAACGTCGGAGAAAAAAAGTGAATATATGGAAATAGGTAAACACGATGGCTTAAATTCTTGTTGAGGAAAAAAGTTATTTTCCTTTTGAATTTTGAATCAAAGGGTTTTCCCATATTTTGATAATGAGATGTTTAGATAATTATGTTACAAAAAAAAATTAAGAATAAAAAATTCGAAGTTATCATGGATTTTATCAATTTGAATTTTTTTTTAAAAATGTAGAGATTTTCCTAGATTCTTGTGGTTTATCTATTTTTCGAATATATACTATAATTGTATGAAATAACCAGTTTAATCAAGAAACTTGTTTTTCCAACAGAAAATTCTTGACAAAAAAAATGTACTTAATTTACGTCTTTTTTGTTCAGTGGGTTGGTTCATGTGCAGAATCTAGTAGGGACGTTCAGGTTTTCTTTGTAGATTCGTCTTGTAGAAAATATTATGGACTTTTGTTTATCGATTATGCATAAGCTAAAGTTTCTTTAGAAAACTTAATGAGTGATATTTTCTTTTAGATGTTGTATCCATATATATAGTGGAAAAAAAAAACCAAAACAAAAAGGTTGAGAACATTATTTCTTTGTTCACAAAGAAAGCAAAAACAAATGACAATAACAAAATACACAGGGTTGGTTCATTTTGGTTGGTTGGTGAATGGTGATAATGCATTTTAAAAAGCAGAGGGAGAAAAGTTATCAACCCACACACTTTTGAGTGTGATATCAATCAACTGATCCGACGGCAGATAGTGATTCCATCACCAACAGGGAGCATGCATATCTCGATCCTAGGGTCAGCAGCAAGAGCCTTGTTAAGCTCAAGAACAAAGTCTCTGTAGTAACGAACAGGGACGGATTTGGACACAGCCGATCGAAACATTCGCCTTGGGCCCCAAAATGTTTAGAAAAAATTAACCTAGAAATAAGCCCCTACACATTGACATTGGCCCCCAAAATTTTTAGAGTTCTTAAAAAATGTTTTAAGCCCCCAAAATCTCAGCTCCGGCCCTGGTAACGAACATACTTCCTCATCGGTGCATCAGGAGGAGCCACGACAGAGCCGTTCCAAAGAGTGTTGTCGTAGCCAATCACTCCTCCAACTTTCACAAGATCGATCAAACGTTTATGGTAGTTGATATAGTTGTCTTTGTCAGCATCAACGAATATGAAGTCGTATGTTCCATGATTCTTCTCCTGCACCCAACCACATACGATAATTAAGTTACTCCCTTTGGCATAAAAAAATTCTTACGTCACCAGAAGAAGAATGCTTACGTCAGCAACGAGTTCATCAAGAACAGGAAGAGCAGGGCCTTCCCTAAAATCGATCTTGTGAGCAACGCCAGCTTTCTCGATGATCGGTAAACCCAACTCGTAGTTCTCTCTGTTAACGTCCATGGCTAGAATCTAAATATAAAAATATGAAAATTTTAACTCCATTTTCACATAAAAATCATATATTATAAAGTACTTAGAAAAAAAAATAGAGATAAGAAGATGTTTTTTACTTTGCCGTCTTCGGGGAGAGCAAGAGCGGTGGCGAGAAGGGAGTAGCCAGTGTAAACACCGATCTCCATTGTGTTCTTGGCGTTAACGAGCTTGATGAGCATGTTGAGAAACTGTCCTTCATCAGCTGATGTTGTCATTATGTTCCAAGGGTGTTTTGCTGTGACTTCCCTGAGTTCTTTCATTGATTCTGGTTCTCTTGGATACACACTTGTCTCCAGAATATACTGCATGTGTTAAGTTTAAGGTTTTAGATTAGATTATTGAGCCCAAGCAAGCTGCAAGGGTTTTGAAATGTAATGGACCTGGTAGAGATCGTCGCTTTGTAAGAGACTCTTGTGACCGACTTCTTGGTGTCGGAGATTCTGAGATTGCTTGTCTTCTCCATTGGAAGAAGATGTCTTCGTTGTCTCTGATGTTGTTGTTGCCATCTCTCTCTGTATTTGTTAAAGTGTTTGTGGGTGATTCATACAGATGGCATTATTGGTTTATATATAAAGGAGAAAAGGAGACTGGTTTGAACCGGGTTAGTTAAATAACCTGGTCCGGGGTTGGTGAAACTCTCCTTCCCCAACACACAACTTGTCGGTCGCTGTCTTAAATGGTGGAGCTTCAGACGCACTAGGGGTGATATCGCCTCGGTGGCAATCAAATATATTTTTTTCAATTATTAACCAATTCAATGAAATGGGTTTAAATTTAAAAATGATAGTTGTGTGGTGTGGTTTGTGACAATTAAATATGTTTTTTCTATGCATTTATGAGTCAGTTGCATGGTTGCTGCTAGATACAACTCGTAATATGTAATTATATTATGTCTTGATTTCTATCTAAAATTTACACGATGATTGTTCCAAAGGCGTGATTGAGAGTTTCACACTGGATATAGGCATGTAGATGAGGTGTATTCTAAACAAAATTAAAGTAGACATAAACAATTTAAAAGAAAGAAGACAATGAGGAGACTTGGTGCGTGGAGAAGACGACCAATCTGAAGGGAATAAAGATACATTCTTGGTGGATCCAACAACCCTGCTTGGTCTGTGTGGTAGTTGAACCTCTTCTTGGTTAATGAATTGTATGAGTAATCACTAATCATCATTCCTTTTAGTTGTTAAGAATACTTTGAACATTACAAATAAAAGGTCATTCAAATTAGTACAAGGAAAAACACTTTTCGTATTGACACCATTGGTTTTGTGCAGATTTTCTGGTTACCCCTTGTTAAAAGTGAAATAAATCAGATCCAAAACTTAATTGTAAGAATGTTTTCCCTTTCTTAGTTGCTCATCATTGACGAGAACTCGGGACAAAGCCCAAAAGCTTCATGACAATATAGTGGTGTATGTGTTAAAAAAAGCTATAGTAGTGTATTTCAGAAACAAATAGATGTGGATCGCAAAGAAGAGACAAATGATGACAAAATTTGTTAAACGAAAAATATGAAACAGTTATTTTATTTATTTATTTTGATATACATCTCATTAGTTGGTATTTGTTTCTAGTGAATTTTGATTATAAAATCAATTATCTATTAATTTTAAATAACTCTTGATAAATATTATGAATGAGATTCTTGTTTTTCAATAAGATTAGATTTTAAAGAATTTGAATAAGTAATCAATTCAATAAGGTTGGTTTTGAGGGAACTTGTATAAATACTAGATAGTAGATACAGTAAGAAGAGATTTGAACAAAAACTAAAATTCTCCCAAATTATCAATACAATAAAACCCCCTAAAAGTAAATTAATTATTTCAATAATCATCTTTGCATTCATTTAGCTTATACAATTAACTCTAGAAAATGCATGTATTGTTGAGGCACAATTGCATGAATGAATAATTAATTACTGAACAAATTCTTTTTGACAAAAAAAATTGAAACAAAAACTAAGATACACACACCCGGTGGAGATCGAACCCACAATCGTCTGATTAGAAGTCAGACGCCTTATCCATTGGGCCACGGGTGCTTTGGTGATCACTTAAACAAATAGAGACATTTGATTAAACGTATAGTTCCGAACCAAGTTGATACGACTGCGTTTCGTTCGTCGTCTTCGCTTTTACTTCTTCGAGTAGTGTTTAAGTGTTAATAGATAAGACGCACGCTCCCTTCCCTCTCCGTCTAGCTGCAGTTAGCAAACGTCATTTTGCGATGATAGCTTCGCTGAGTCCAACTTTAACAGAGCCAAGGCTCATCTCTCCGATGTGTTCTATCTCAGCGAATGTTTCTCCGAGTTTGTATTCAATCTCTTTGATTCATTCACCAATGAAACAAAGGAGACTCCAAAACTCACGACTCAGAGCTTCTTCAACCTCATTAAGCATGGAAACAACGAAAGATATCATCGACGTTGACCTCGTGCCAATTTCCAAAAAGGTTTCTCCTTTACACCTTCCAAGAATCTAAAGTTCCCACCTTTATTTATTTGTAGAGAGGAAAATTAATAAACAATGTATACAGGTGCTTGTTCCGATTGGATACGGTACAGAGGAGATAGAAGCTGTTGTGTTAGTTGATGTTCTACGTCGTGCTGGCGCAGACGTCACTCTTGCCTCTGTGGAGCAGAAGCTTGAAGTTGAAGGGTCATCAGGGACTAAGTTGCTTGCTGATGTCTTAATCTCTAAATGTGCTGAAAAATTTTATGATCTTGTGGCTTTGCCGGTATGTGAATCAGACATTACTTAACAAAACTTTTCCTGTTCTGCTTTTGGCTGATTTTTTCTTTTCAAATTGTGAACAGGGAGGCATGCCTGGTGCTGTTAGGTTAAGAGACTGTGGAGTTTTGGAGAAGATCATGAAGAGACAAGCTGAAGATAAGAGGTTATACGGAGCTATATCCATGGCTCCGGCTATTACTCTTCTTCCATGGGGTCTTTTGACAAGAAAGAAGGTATAAAGCTATGTCAGATTGGTAACTAATCTTTTCAAATTTCATTTTTGTAAACTTGGTGTAGTTCATTGTGCAAGACAACAGGACATCCTGCTTTTTTCGGGAAGCTGCCTACATTCTGGGCTGTTAAGACAAACATTCAGATCTCAGGGGAGCTTACAACTAGCCGTGGACCAGGCACTTCTTTTCAGTTTGCTCTTTCCTTGGCTAACCAGCTCTTTGGAGAAACCACAGCTAAATCCGTTGAAGAGCTTCTGGTTCTTTATCTTTATTCACTTGTTATCATTCTTTTATTTATCCATATTGATATGTAAGTAACAGTCTTCTTTTTCTAATCATTTCTCTAGCTTCTACGCGATGGTTATAAGAGTCCTAAGACGGAAGAGTTTAATAGCATTGACTGGTCTCTAAACCACACACCTCGTGTAAGTTACCATGTAGCTATAACCAATGCTTTTCCATGTAATCTCATGAGAAGAATATGATGATAAATTGAGAACTGATTTGTTTTGTTATAGTTTCTTTATGTTGGCTGATTCTTGTGGATTCTGTGAAAATGGGTTTAATGATGTTAGTGAATTCAGGTTCTTATCCCGGTAGCCAATGGATCTGAAGAGGTTGAAGTGGTGACAATTGCAGATGTTCTTAGAAGAGCTAAAGTAGATGTCACTGTTACATCGGTTGAAAGATCTTTGCGGATTACAGCATCACAAGGCACAAAAATTGTCACCGACAAATTGATTGGTGAAGCTTCTGAATCATCATATGATCTAATCCTTCTTCCGGTAAGACATCAAGATCATTAGAGCTATATTATGTTTTATTACATGGTGAGTAACTAACTTTGATGTCTTTCTATTGATGGAACTTCCTAGGGAGGCCATGCTGGCTCAGAACGTCTACAGAAGTCCAAAGTGCTCAAGAAGCTACTCAAAGAACAACAAGAAGCTGGGCGAATATATGGAGCTACTAACTCTTCATCTACTGTCCTGCATAAACACGGTTTACTCAAGGTAAATTGAAGTTTTTTTTTTTATGTTCTTTTTTCTTTCCTAGATATGAGCAAAACACTGTACATGATTTGAATCCTATTGCAGGATAAGAGAACAGCTGTGTACCCCTCAGACACAGAGGGACCTGTGAGTGACCAAATGATAGAAGGAGTAGAAGTTGTTATAGATGGAAACGTGATTACAAGTTTGGGGCTGGCAACTGTTACTAATTTCTCTCTAGCTATAGTTAGCAAGCTGTTTGGACATGGCAGAGCAAGAAGTGTTTCAGAAGGGCTTGTGCATGAGTATAGAGGGAATATGAAAGCATCTTGATCAAAGATACACAGTTAGAAGATGTCTCCACTACTGATCCTGAATCTGGAGTATAACTACAACATTGTAAATGAGAAAGATCGGGGGTGACAACCATTTTACTTAATCTTCTCAATCAACTCCAAAACACCCCTTCAAATTCTTCTTTCTTCTCATGAGTAGAATTTTCTTATTCTTTAGTTAGGTTAAGAAAAAATGTTCCATTCTTTTTGAAACTTCAAACAATATCTTTTACTATTACCAGTTGATATTAGATTTGATCTTTAAACTTACCTGCAACTATCTGGAGTCAACTACCAACTCTTGTCAAGGCTAATAGTCCAGCATTTTCTCTTCACAAAAAGAGAAAAGAAACTTCATACCAATATGGCAATATTAGCAAAATTGGAGAATACAACATGATTGATTCTAAATTTTGATGTATCCATCAATCTATTCACTGTCTACTATACGTTTTATTAGCCGTTGAAGAAAAAAAGAGATCCACGCAAGTAACATATGCTACAAGACAAATGCACTATGGGTCAAGTTCACAATGATGTTCAAGACATTGACACGTCCTATAAAGCAACATCAAGATCCATTACATAAGGAAGATAAAACCAAAAGATGCTTCAAGACAACAGAAGAAAAAAAAGAGAGTGTTGATCTAATCAAATCGGTCACACTTCATTACCTACAATCACCCACACAGAAACACCTGCCTAAGTTACATACAAAGCTAGCTTCTACTTTCTGTGTTGTTTCTATAGCTTCTGCTCTTTGTTGAGCGAGCTCCTTGGACGCCTTCATAAATAAGCTCTCTACCAAGGGCCCGTCAATGTCCTTCGCAAGCATTGCCTTTTGCATCCCCATGGCTGACGCATTGGCTCCAGAAGCTGCAACAACAAATGAGACAATCTCTGTTAAAAATTAAAACGTGTGATGTTGGCACTGTACTTAATGTTAAGATGTGATGTTATATTTCACTTCATTGTTGGTTACAGTATTAGACTAAAAGCTTAGACTTTAAGAATACAAGAGACAGTACCTGTTTTTTCTGCTTTTCCATGATTTCAATCTGCATGAAAACAGTTAGTAAACTGGTCAGAACCTCACAAAAATATAAAGATAATATTCCAAATTTTTTTTTTTTAAATCTCGAGATAGGAAGAAGGGAGACGCACTTGTTTCCTCTGCAACTCTTCATTCTGCTCTTTCAGTTGTGCAACTTCTGCCTCCAACTCCAACGTATAAGCCTATCAAGGCAGCAAAATGAAAAAGTAAATAAACTATACTTATAAGGTTTCTTCAGTCTCCAAGATTTAGGTGACCACTCACTTGCTTGCGAGCGCGGGATCGTGCAGCTGATTCCCTATTCTTAATCATCCTTTTCTGCCTCCTCTCAATCACTTTCTCCAGAACTGCACCTGTCTTTCTTCCTCGACCAAACATGTAAGGAACTGGTGACAAAGATACATCCATGGTGCTCTTTGGAGTCAGATCAGGTGACATCTGGCTCCCAGGAGACACTGCTGCAACCGTAACCCCTGTTTTAAAATCAACAGCTTGAAGAAGGTTGTTGTTGTTCATAGTCGTCCGGTCCCTAACTCCAAGTATTGAAGGCTTCACTTCAAGGCACTAAGAAAAAAAAAAGCAAAAAATTGCAGATAACAAAACAAGCTTAATACTCAACCATGGAAACTACATATAGTTCATCTAATATGTATGGTCATGTTGTTAGTCACCTGTGTTGGAGTGTTAGAAAATGCAATAGTAGTCTGTTTGGGAAAAGGTATATCCTGCTTCTGTATCAGTTGTTGCGGCTGATGCACCTTCTGTGGCAGCTGCTGCATCGGTAGTGGCTGAGTTTGAGTTGTCAGCAGCTCAGGTCTCACCATGGCTCCATTAGGCTGGTTAGGACAGAACCCATTACGAGCTGAAACCAGACCTGCATCACTTCCAAATCCAAAGAACCCACCATTGAAGTTATCCACTCTCTCCACCACTTGAGGCTCTTCCCTAACCACACCAGCTCTGACCAAAAACTCCTCCAAAGTCATCTCTCCCAACGTCTGTTGCCTCTGCGGAACTCCACTTGCTCCACCATTTCCAACGTCATCGTCCTTCATCAGCTCCTTCCAGACATCATCAACTCTTTTCTGACTAATGGTACGAGGCAAAGTAAGTGACCCTTGTCTCTGCAAACCCCCACCAACACCAACACCACCACCACCACTACCAATCTCTCCTCCCACACCAACAGAAAAACCTCCATTGCTGTTACTGTTCATAACAGTGTTACCGTTGCTGAAACTGGTGTTATTGGCCATCATAGAGTGGCTTTCCTCAGCTGTCCATATGTTCTTCAAAAGCTCATCCATGTTCATTGACCCAAAGTCCTTCCCAATCCCACCTCCCCATGAGTTCTGAAACTCATCAAAGGTTAACGAGAAAACAGAGTTCTGTCTCGTCAATGGAACACCAGTTCCTCCCAAAGCTTGCTGCTTTGCGTCGTCAACGAAGTTAAATCGAGAACCCATCTTCTAAAAATTCAAGCTTTAAATCCTTCAAGTAAAAAAAAACAAAGCAGAGGTTAAATAAAAATCAGATCTTTAATCCAGAAACAGAGCAAAGAGTTGAAACAGAGGATCTGAAACAACTCTACAAAACAACCAATCATAAGCTTATATTCGGCGGGAAAATTCATGATTCTGATCCAATCACTGGATCTGAAACAAAGAAACCAATCAGTGAAAGTTTTTATTTTCCTTACCTTGAAATTTTTATTTTCTTTATTTCGTTATTTCCTTTTTGAGAAAGAAAATAAGATCTGAGAAATATAGAGAGGGAGGGAGCGACATGTGTCCAAGGCGTGACACTCGTCGTGATATAAAGGGGTGTTTCGACTGTTTGGACTCGGGGATTATTTTATTCTCGATAAGGTATTAAAAACACTTTGACGTCAGATCGTGCGTGAGCCAAAGGTATTGGACAACGTGGTCCAATGAGAAACGCTGCTTTTTTCTAAAAATCGTTATCATACGTTTTACGATTCCAACGAATAGTAATTCGCAAAGTGTAAAGACGCTGGCCGTTAGATATTTTAATCGCCGTCGGCAGTAACGAGACGAATATATTTTTTTTAATATAACAACGAATATTGTAATGTGCCGGATGATTTATTTGGTAGACGGACATTATGCAAAATCAGGTATTTTTTGGCTGATGCATATTGATAATTTTTTTTTTTATTATTATGCGACTGACTCGGAAAAATATACTAAAAAAAATATAACATTATTTCGTGTTAGGAATCGAATTAATTTGGCAAATCAACTGTGGAGTGATCTTAACATCATGATTCACTACTACAACTACAAAGATGCGTGCACAGGGTTATAAATTATACTAACAAACAGAAAAGAAAGAATGTTATAAAATTTTAAATAAAATAGATTATTATTATACAATGCATTATTTTGTATACAAAAGTGGAGGGAACGGGTGATCAGTTCCGGAATCTTTATCACGTTGCTGCTGCACCTACAAGGGATGGACATTTGCCACGTGGCGCACTCAGCGCCCTTGTAAAGTATTAAAATGGAGCAACAAACATTATAATAGATCAGTATTGGTGTCCCATTACTCACATAACCCTTTGTGTTGATCTTCACATGTGATGTGATCTTCTCTTTAATGTATTTTATCTTTTTCATTACCTTTTGTTTATTGATGTTTCTTCATTGTTATGGACTCTTATCCTTGACTCGGTACACAATTCAAGTGACCCTTCGTGTCACCCATCTCTTATTTCTATTTTCAATCATATTTAAATAGTTTTCTTTAAGAATCTACTGGATTAGGAAAGTCTACTCTGCATTAACTTATAAAAAAATGGAACCGTGAGCTTAGAGAATTCACATGGACTCGACTTTACTAGTCTTCTGGAGACATGTTCTTTCCTTGATTAGATTTAATTAATTGAAGTTACTTCTTTGAGGTCGTGATGAGATAACTACACACATTTTCTAACCCTTCTTTTACTTTTCGGAATACAAAAAACAATAAATCTAGAACAAAACGAATAAACCAACATACGAAACGATATAAAAAGAATCATTGTCACGCTTTGTATATTTTCTTATAGTTGCTAATAGTAGTTGAACTCTTAGAAAGAGGTCTACTAATTGGAGATCTTTGGGTTAGAAATGTGAATTATTGATGGGAGAAATTTAGCTTTGAGACATAGCAAGATATCGATTAAGTCTAATAAACTATTACATATTCCTTGAAATAAAGTGTATTTTCCTAGTAGCATATGCATGTGAAATGAATGGTCCGAATAACGTGAGCTCGAAGGTTTGTCTCTCTTACACGCAATCCAATCATGTGGACCGAAGATCTTCGGTTGTTTTATTATGGAATAGCATTGTGGTCAACTGTTAGCCCTGCGTGACCAACGTGCGTCAGATTATATCCTCGTTAAAAGATACTTAACCTAAGAATATGCTTCAAATGTAGCTATATGTGTTTCCTCTCTATATGATCTATTACTATACAGCCTTAAGTTGTTGGCCTTGTACATTTTATACGGGCTCTACTCTATATCGTATTCCGTTGACTTAATTTCAAGATCGCATAGTTCCTTTGGATTTTCAAAAAGATTATACATTTACTCTATTTTAGACATGGGCTGGACTCTGAACTTTTTGTTTACAACAAGCTGATTGATATGTATGCAGAATCTGGTGGACCTAAAGGGTTACCCATAAGGTTTTTGATATGATGGTTGTGAGTGGTTTTGGTCAGGTATGTACATATGGGCTCTACAATTTAGGCCCACATTTCAACATTGAATTAGGTATGTGGACTTAACTAATACCTAGGATCTTCTTAAGAAAATATCTACATCAGGAGACTTAAACATAGTTGTAAGACTTAAACATTAATGCATAGTTTATTCTACCCCAAATACATGCATGAATAGATTAGATATAAGGTTAAAAAATTACATAGTCTCAGATTAGTGTGTGGTTATATACAATAATGTTGTATTAACAAACTAACTACATTAGAAAATTATTAAATTCGCGAGATATTTTGTTGGCTGTCAAAGTAAAAGGGCAGATATTTTTCTTAGCAAGGACAAAAGTAGCAGATATTTTGACCCAACTACTACCACGTCAGCAAGTGTCTTAAAATATCCATTCGCTAAACCAATAGCTAATTTGAATTAGTTTTTTTCTATGATTTATCCAATAAACTTCTAACTATCAGACTAGAATCCAGATAATAATTAATCTTTGTTTGGCTTTATCTCTATATCCAAAATTAAAATGATATTTAATGAATACTTAGTTAGCTATTCGAAATTAACAAAAAAATTGTGGTGCATTTAAAAAGAGTTAGGGCCCCATGAAGAAGATACATGATGTTCTTAAAGATGGATAATGACGTTAACTTTAGCATGTTATCTAATTCTAAAAGTTTATCCAAGATCTAACCAAATCTGAATTTATTTAATAAATCCTTAAAGTAATCATACAAAAAAGGTAAGAAATCAGAATGTAAAAAAAGAAAATCAAAATCCTCACCTATTAAATTGAGAGGAGAGCATCAATTATCTCAAAGCTCACAAATAAAGCTAAATTAAGAGAAAGAATAAAATAATTATTCCACAAACACACACGAAACCTCCTAACAGGAGAAAAAAGAAATATCTGGCTGATATTTTGTCCGAGATATTTATCGCTGATGATGACGTGGCAGTACTATGACACGTGTAAAAGCGACGCCATGTGGAACTTTCCTTGTCTCTTTTTGCTCTCAAGGTCCTATCTATCTCAAGAGACGTAATTTGTTTTGTTCTTTTGTGTGTTTGAGAGAGCATCGTAGAGAGAGCACCGATGGAGAATGAGAATGATGAGGTTGTGAATACAGTTTCTCTCCAGATGGATCGCGATGATGCGGAGGAGGCGTCGGCTGAGTCTCAGAGCGAGTCTTCGACTCTCTCTAACTCGATTGAGTCCGGTCTTACGGTTGAGAGCTCTCGTGGTGGTGACGCGGATGCTAAAAAACTGGTAATTAATTAAATCTTTATTGGTTATTCCACTCTAATTTTTGTTGTTGTTTAGTTTACCTTTGAGACGTAGTCACGTAAGAGATGCGACTGTTTTGGTTAATTGTTTGTTCTTATCGGTTTTGGGAAAGTAATCTATTTGAGATTGTTATATATGGAAAGGAAGGTTTAGATCTGATGCTACGATTAGGTTTAAACTCGTTAACCTTGAAAAGATCTTTTTTTGATGCAATGATCTGATGTTGAGATTTAACTAATCAAATACTTTGTAAGCATTTGTCAAATTGAAAAGTCATATCTTTTTGAATCATTTTCTGAGTAACTAGAGTTCGTGTTCAGTGGTTGCAATTGTTTTTTTTTTTTTTTTGCGTTGTCTAAGGCTTATCAATCTGTATGAGAAAACAAGGTTGTTCATTGTGTTGCAGAGATTCTTGAAAAGTTCCCATCTTGCGTTCTAATTACTATCGTTAACTCTTGTTTATGCAGGATGAATGTGGTGGCTGGACGAATGAGAAACACAACTTGTATCTTGATTCTTTGGAGAACTCGTTTGTTAAGCAGTTGTATTCCTTGCTTGGGGGAGGAGGGACTCAGAGACTGACTAGAGCTCGTGGTGTGCAGTCCAACTCACACAAATCGACTGATCAGGTTCGGTGTTTCTTATACTGTTTCTTTATTTGTTTTTCTTGTTTGGTAATCATCTAGTGAAAGCTTACGGCATTCTCTTTTTGTAGTTTACTGTTCTACAAAATGGTTACCGGCAGAAGGTTAACTTTGGAAATAAACGAGCTTATTTGGAGACATCATCTGAGTACACGATGGGAACTGCTGTCCTATCGGGCAAAGAAGAAATCAAAAGTTCTGGTGATAAGGGTTTTACTAGAACATCCATGAGAAATTGTTTGGGGCATGAGTATCCAGCTCAAAGCACTGCAGGTAACATTCTGCTTAGCTTAGTTTAATCAAAACCCCTCTTGGGAGTTGTATGTATGTTTGGCCTCTTCTCTTTTTTTCTTTCTTCTTGATTTTTTGGTACCCAATTATTCTATGTTCACATTCTATATTCTATCTAGAACTAGGCTGATGACACATTTGAGTAGATCAAAGCTTAAGTTAACTTTGCATTGGCTTTTAGAAGGCTTTTGCTGCAGAAACATAAGAGTTGATATGACCCGGGGGTGATCAAAGAAATGATTGTTGCTACCAAAGACATGTATGAGATCTGGTCTGATATCTATTCCACCCACCGACCCACATATTAATGTCTTTTGTTTAGAACTTGTATTCTCACCTACCTGATAATATCAGTCTAAAGTCTAATCTCTGGCCTCATTTGTTTTTGATACTCTAGAGGCGTCAGGGCAGAATTTCAGAGAAGAAGAAGTTGGATGCAACTCAGAGGTATCCAAGAAACGCAGAAGAGGAGCTAATTTTGATGATAGTTCATTGAATGATCAGGTAAATTATAGGAAAATGAACACATACCAAACAACTTCATGTGTGTTATGCTAAAGAGGCTGCTGCATATTCTCAGGTTGTGCCGTAATGATGGTGAAGCCCCAGAATGTGAAACAGTGATATAAAGCAATAGGAAGTGAAGTGTAGATTAATTACTATGAATAGAGAAAAAAAAAATAGGAAGCGTGTGAGTGGAGAATGAACGTGGAGGGTTTTGTTTGTTGTATAGTATGAGGCTAAAGAGAGCCTTGTCGAATGGGAATGAAAATGAGTATTTTGATATATTTAGTAGCATTTTCGTCATTTCTTCCAT